AGGCACGCAGCCGAGGTGTGTTTCCCTTCGAATTTCCCGCCTCTTTCTGTGGGGCTAATTAATTGCCACCAGGTCAAAGCAGCAGCCGAAAAGGCAATGGCAGAGTACAAACGCGATCATCCAGACGCTGAAGATAAGGACATCAAGGTCGACCTCCCCGTTGCCCCACAACCTCAACCAGCGGCACAACTAGGTCTACCCCCCATACATGCCGTAATACCAGCTGCACATTGGATGTATCAAGCACTTCCGATGCCTGCTCCAGGCTTTTTTGGAGGGTTCAATTTCGGTGTTAATCATTATCACCATGTAGTGCAGAATGGACAGGTGGCCCATCATCGTCACCCTCCTATGCCTGCACCGCCACCGCCCCTTGTACAACCCGCTGCTCCTCGACTAACTCGAGCTCAACAACAAGCGGCTGTCGTGCGGGCAAGAGAAGACGAACGTCGTCTTCAGCAACAGCAACAGCAGCAACTTCAACAACTACAACAACTACAACAACTACAACAACAGTGGCAGCAGCGGCAACAAGCGCAATTAAGACATCAACGAGAGCGGCGGGCAGAAAATCAAAGGGCAAACGCAAGGTATCAGGAAATGTTAGCGGCTCAGGTTGAAGCTCATCGTGTGCAACGGGACTTAAGGGCAAGAGCCCGTCAACTGCAGCAAGACGGTCGGTTGGGCCACGAACCGCCGAGAAGGGACAATGCTGTAATTCCTCCTATCGGCCTTCCTCAACTCCCTGTGCCTGCAGCTGGAAGGAGGAAGAGGGCTCGGCGTTGAACTTGAGGTTATCTGTTCTGCTAGTCCTTCCTCCCTAATACTTATTATTTTTTTGTTTGTTGGAATTCCCTTTGTACGAGGTTCTTCGCTATCCCACTCCACAGAACCCTTCATTAGCGACTCCCAGAAATTAGTCGCGATCTCGGTTTCATCCCTTTTCGCTGTGACCTTTTTTGGATCATGCATTTTACACGAACGCTGCCATTAACGCAACAATTCTACAGTACCTACAAATCACACGTTAGATCCCTAGTCTAATGACTCTAAATACATGCAGCGTGCAGTTGAAACTCTGAGTGCTTCGCGGCATAACTGCCGAAAAGACTAAGAATAGACCTGTGCCGCCTGCTGCGCTGCGATCGCTGTGACAAAGACTCTATATTTAGGCCATTTGATGAATGAACATGGCCAGGCTTGTTGCAGTTCTTTCTTTTCTCCTTCACCACGACCTCCAGCGGTTTCCGCTTTACTGACCATTTTCACCACGTACTGACGCCTTCCAGCTCCTCGATATGCAGGCATATCACGACAACCCGTTTGACGACAGTAGAGGCCAGCCTAATTATGATTCTGCCGCGGTAAGTCCCCGTTTTGTTTCTCCACTGCGTCCTTGTGCAGTTTGTGTTGCGTGCGTGCCGGGGTGAAATACCTAGTGACTTTTCAAGAATAAAATATGATGATTCATGCATGCGTCAATGGACGAAGGGCTTAACTTGCCGCTTGTTCAATTATCATTCTAGCGGTCCGATCACAGCTCCCTTTTCTCCTCCCTTCCTTGCCACGCTTTCTCTTTTCTGACCGTGTCCTGTTTGTAGGCCAATCGTTTTGGGCCATCCCCCGCCGTACCGCCGTCCAACCAAGGCGGAGCCTTCAATAACATTCCTCTGGCCACGATACCCTCAGCAACCGCTGGATACCGACCTGTTGGTGAACAATCTACTGACGACTTGACTGCGAACCCGCCAAGAGGATTTGGAATGGCTTCGGGAGGATTTGCCGATATGGATCGTGGAAGGGGATTCACTGCCTATGGGCAGGAACCCAAACTCGGTGCTTATACTCCAGGCTCGACCTGGGAGCCTCGGCAGCCAAAGTCCAGCCGAAAAAAATGGATAGTGAGTATTTTGCCCATTATCTCGAATCTAGGCGTGCTCACTTGTTACGTTCATCACAACAGATAATGGGCCTCATCATTGCCCTGGTAGGAGTCATCGTCGTTGCTGTCACCGCCGGCGTCGTGGTCTCCAGCAAGAACAAGAAAAATAACAACCTATCAACCTCTGGCGGTAACAGTGGCAGCAGCTCACAAGGCCCATCGACAGTTTCCCAGACCAATCCCAATGACCCAAGTACATTCGTCAAGAATCCCGCCTACCACCAATCGTTCTACGGAATTGCCTATACACCAGTTGGATCGCAGCTGCCAGAATGTGGCAATACCCTAGGTACGTCGATCCTCGTCACATATCTGGGTTGCTCCTGCTGATTGCCCTTTCCGATTGACAGAGGGCGTCATTGAAGATATCCAGGTTTGCGCATGAGATTCTTTATTTTTAGCCACTTTCGCTGAACCACTGCCTCCCCGTAGATCATGTCGCAACTGACCAAAGTGAGTATCAATATGAGCCTTTACGATGCTGGACGTCTAGCTGACATGAATGTTCCACCCAGCGCATCCGTATCTATGGCGCTGATTGTAATCAATCGGCTTTGGTGGTATGGCTCAAATTCAATTGTGCCATCTTTAATGCTCTATATTTGACAGTAATTCATGTAGCTTGAAGCGATTAAGCAGACCAAAGTGGACATGCAGGTCTGGCTAGGAAACTATGCCATAGCCACAGACAACGGCACTTCTTATCAACGCCAGCGTGATGTAATTAAAGCTGCCGTCCAAGCATACGGGACAGACCATATTGGGGGGATCACTGTCGGAAATGAATTCATTCTGGAGTCAGGTATTTTGACTTTCTGGGTGACAGATTACTTACCATAGTTTCTTCCAGCTACCTAGATGATAATGGCGGGACCGACCCCAACAGCGCGATTGGCAACCAAGGTGCAGCTATCCTTCTGCAGTACATTCAGGACACTCGCAGCATGCTCCAAAGCATGGGCGTTAGCATCCCCGTAGGCAACTCTGATGCTGGCGCTTACTTCAACAATGAGATTTTGGGAGCCGTCGACTACGGGGTATCTATTCTTGACATTTTCAGTTATCTCAGATCGGCTGATCCTTCTGAAATGCAGATGGCCAACGTGCACCCATGGTTTGCAAATGTCTCAGCGCAACAAGGCGCTGGTTGGACCAATGACTTCTTTGTACAAACGGATGTGGCGTTGGCTAATACGTTGTCGAACAAACCATCCATGTATATCGCTGAGACGGGATGGCCAACAGTGAGCTTTTCTATTTTTCCTTATAGCTCGTTGTATAATTGAGCCTTGAACCCGCTTTGTAGAAATCTTCTGATCTGGGTAATGAATCCAACGGACCATCGAATGCTTCCATTTCAAACTTGCAGGTCTAACATACGCTTTTCTTCAGGATGCCGATGGTGGTACTGATAACTATTTTAGATCTTCCTCGATACCTTTGTTTGCCAGGCGAACACCAACGGGACACAATACTTCTTCTTCGAGTTCGCTGATGAGGACTGGAAAGTGAGTACTTGATATAAATTTATATACGGCCACCTAATGACATGTCTCACCATTGCAGGATAAACAATTCGGGGGTGTTGAAGGATGGTGGGGACTGTTTAATCAAAAGTAAGTCCCTTGATTTAACTACTTCTAGGTAACAATTAACTGACTTATTGACCAGCCGGACGCTCAAGGATGGAATCACGATCCCGACTTGCCAATCACCTTGATGCTTGATACTCTTCCCCCAGACACACTACACTCGCCACCTGTCCCATATTCCTCTTGCTCACGTTCGCATCATGATGTTCATTTGGATTTCGCCAAGTCTGAAGCGTTATTTGACCAGGACATTCCAACTAAAAATTCAAAACTTATGCATTCGAAGGACAATTTTTTTTTCACGAGTAATTTTAGCATTCGTGCGTCTCATCTCAAAGGACTTGGAGATTCTTTCCTCATTCTACGCACGATATTTATCTCATACCCCCTTGCCATTGTTACCGTCAAGTATTATATCTTCCGTACACGTACGTTCGAGTTCATACTTAGTCAATCCCTTGTGCCATTCCTCTCATTCGAGTCCCTGACAATTACTTGCCTTTTCTCTGTTCGTTCCTCCCGTACATTAACTTCCCTTTCCGCTGTTGACTCTGTATTAGAGCTTGGAATATAGGACTCTTGTAACATCAATCAGCATACCTTGTCCAGGCTGGCTCCTCTTGAAGCAACTTGGCACTGCCCTGTAAGTGGCGCACTATTCTCGGCCTACCACATACATACTGAGTCTCGATCTGTTTTCTCTGCAGTGCGGATATTATATTTAGGGTTTACTCTACAAGGCCCTCTCTAGCTTATCTCCAACTCGAATATTGCATCGTTAGGCGTGTAGATATTCTTTCGCTTTGCTTTGCGATTCCGAGTTCCTCCCCGACTCTTTCCAACACTTGCCGTGGTTGAAGTGGCAGTGAATCAGTCAAGGCCCCAGAGTTCATACGTCATTCGTTTGACCTTTTACCTAATTTGAAGTTATTCAGCGACCAATTGCGTCCAGGTGTTCGTAACTTACTTAACCTGCAATAAACAACTATGCAACGGAGTCAGTGTCGCAGTGGCCAACAACCTTTTACTACCCAAGGTGCTAAATCCAATATGGATGAGGTTTTTGCTTGATGGGGGCTTGGAGTTTGGTGGTATTCCGAAAGGCAATGAAATTCTGAGCCCGCAAAGCTCAATCTTCCACAAATGGGGGACAAACTTGAATAAATGAAGAACTGTGAATTCTCGGCCGCCGTCCCCAAGAGTGTCTGTATTTCTTGATATTTTTTTAGCTTGATAATCATTAAACTGAGCCAAGAATGTATGTGATGCACTGATACATAGACTAGACAAAGAAACAACTTAGTAATGCATAATTAATTGAGATGGAGGAAGAGACTCAGAGTTCTAGTCTGATCATCACGGGCTTCGGAGACAAGCCAGATAAACATTGTAGTACTGTACTTCGCTTCCGATCAAGTCAGGCGTAAGAGGCTGCATTTCACCTGTGAAATAAAAATTGCATGCAATGCATTGGCCGAGAGTCGAACTCGGAGCTAGGCCAGATACCAAATGGGAAGACCCAATGTTACCGCTACACCACCAATGCATATTTACAGTAATAATCCTTAGTATTGACAACAGCCTGGTAGACGGGTTGCTGGGTCTCGATCCATCACCAAACACCCTGTGCCAAGATAATAATTCACCACTATGTCAATGACGGCCCTTATGCTAAGTGCTGAGCCTTCGACTGGTTATTATCTGCCACCCTTGTTGCTCAGAAGCTTAAAGGCGACTTGGAGGGCTCAAATTACATAGTCCGCCTCCGCCACAGTAATACTAATAGGCCATGATGGTCGTTGTATCAACTAAGTTACGACGGTTTTTAGCACATTTCTTGAAATGTAGATTCATGACACATGTATATGCTTGTTCCAAGTTTTCGTCCAAGCCTCACAATATCTAACTGTGAGCTCAAGACATCAAGATACTGCCACAAGAATTCCCCTGTAGCACCAGCACCAGCGTCGCGGTGCTCGCCCGCTCCGTAGAATGCCGCATAGAAGAGAAATCCCGTTGTGATTGTAAGACAAAGTTTGGATTGATAATTTAGGTCACAGCATATCAAGCTTCGAGGTTAGACTCGTTCCCGGCTTAGATGGTGCCTGATGGAGAAAGAAAAAAAAAGACAATATAATTCCACCGCCTGCATGCAAATCATTTTAATCAAAAGAAAATTTCTCCGACTCCTTTTGGCATCCTGAGGGGGACTATCCTCGAGTCTATTTCAAAGTTGAAGATACTTCGTCCGTTGAATAGGTTAACTTTTAGGTAAAGGAAGCAAAAAGGGCCCAACCGGGAATTGAACCCGGGACCACGCACATCTTTGCTTCCATTGGAAACGGGTAATACCCGAAGCGCGTATCATACTACTAGACCATTAGGCCGATGAAAGAAGTTCTACCTAAGAGCATCAAGGAGGCAGGGCACCTTCCCACATAAATCTTTGACCTTTGCTCTTGACTTCTTGATCGCAGTGACCATGGCCATAAGAAAGAAAGCTTCCGGACCAAAACTTCCTCGGAGTTTACAAGAACAGATCGAGGAATTCAATGGTACGCTTTTAATTTTGTCTAATCTTCCAAAGTTCTCAATTTATGCAGGTCACAGCCGTCCGCGCACTTCACGACTTCCATCGCGGAAGAAAGCCAGGAAATTGGAACGTACCGCTCAGAAGCAGAGAAAAGCAACCTACTTTTTGCACACCTCCGACAACAAAAAACGACCCGCTGAGGAAGAGCATAGCCAGTCCCCTCAGCGCAAAAAGTCTCGCTTGGATAACTTTGAGAACTGTTCGAGAGCGAATCAAAATCCTGTCTCTAAATCAACACGAATTCATGACCAGGCCCCCATCCCTTCATCGTCTGCTCCAATCCTTCTGCCAAACGTACAAAACCATCAACCAAAAGTGCGACCTCCGACAAATTGCAGAAAGTGTCTCCAGTGCCAAAGGTTAAACCAGTTGCCGAAGAAGAAGAGGACGCGTATATCGCATATCTAGAGAGCAAACTCGGAGTCGGCAAGGCAAAAAAGAAATTGAAAGGCTTGGACGATGATGGTCTGGATGGTGCGTGCTTTATGTCTGGCCGCTCGATTGCAGCTAATAGAGGACTTCGGTTTGCAGACCTTATGGACTGGGCAGATTCTTTACTTCCCACTGCAAGAGCAATAGAATCCGTGTGTCCCTTCCAATATTTCCTGAACCCGACTCACTTATTATTACTTGCAGGATGATAATCAGAGCGAGGATGAAGACGACTCAGAGACTGAAACATCTGAAGGCTTGTCTGCAAGCGATACTTCTGACGATTATGCTTCTGAGGAGGAGTGGCACGGCATTGATCAGGACGAGCTTTTATTAGAGCCCACTCACGAACAACCAGAACCCTCAGAAAAAAAGCGGTCGCCAGCAGGTTCGAGCATCTCGACTTAAAATTTATCATTATTTCTCAATTTTTATTAGGCGCTTATGTACCTCCGCATCTTCGTAATGCCGAGAATGAAAAAGACACTAATTCGGAAGCAATTCAAAAACTCTCAAGACAGTTGAAGGGTCTACTGAATCGGTGGGCAACTTGTCCACTTGGCACATTCGTCAAGTGAATATGTTCTTTTTAGAATGAGTGAACAAAATATCGCAACGATTATTGATAGTGTCGAAGGAGTTTACAGAGAACATCGAAGACACGGTACATTGCAAGACATCTATTTTATTACTGTCCACGCGATTCATGGGTTTTTTGCCAGATGTTACTTCGACCCTGACAACGTTAATCATAAGCGGGATCTCGTCCCATTCATCGTTGTTGGATTCCTACGTTGTTTTATATGCAGCATTTGTTGCCAGCCTGCATAAGGTCAATGGCATTGAATTCGGTGCGACCAAATTGAATTGCAATAATTCTCTTCGAATGTTGCTGATTTCCTTAGCTGCATATTTTGTCCAGTCGACCGTCTCATCTTACGAACGATACTTTGCCGAAATGAATGCTTCAAACCCGACGTCTGCTGGGGAAACGGAAAACGATGCCAAAGAATGTTCTAACCTGCTCGTTCTCATTTCGGAGCTGTACAATTTTCAAGTCATCTCATCAGTCCTTGTATTTGATATCATCCGGGCTCTTCTGGCGGAGGACTTAACGGAGTTCAAGGTTGAACTTCTGCTCAAACTCGTACGCAGTAAGCCAATATACCCTGACATGTTGAACTCCATTCTCACCGGTTTTGTAGACTCTGGGCAACAACTGCGGCAAGATGATCCCTCGGCATTGAAGGATATCATTGACATTGTACTGGGCAAGGTCTCAAGCGAGGACAGAACTGTCAGGTCAGTTTTTGTCTTCTATTTCCGGCATGGACATTTAAGTAGCCCTAGTTCTCGAACACGGTTCATGATCGAAACTCTTACGAACCTGAAGAACAACAAACTTAAAAGAAACGTGACTCAGAATCAAGGTGGTGCAGCTGTGGAAAGGATGAAAAAAGTTCTTGCGGGCCTAAGCAAAACAAAACATGGTCAGTCTTGCCCGTCGTAAATAGATGGAAATGAACCATTTATACTTTTTTCCCTTTCTTTCTGCAGTTCTTTCACACGAACCCCTACGCGTTTCACTAGAGGATCTTCACTCTGCAAAGACTAAAGGGAAATGGTGGCTAGTCGGTGCGGCATGGGGTGGTGACCCTCTCATTGACAAGCAAGAAGAATTTGCCAAGTCAGCTGTTGAGGAAAAGGGTCAAGGCGAATCTGATCTCATTAAACTTGCTCGCTTACAAGGCATGAACACTGATATTCGTCGTGGAGTATTTGTTGTTCTTATGAGTAGCGATGTAGGTCGTGTGCAGTTTATATTTCTTTCTTCCGTTTATAATCCTCCCTAGGACTATGTCGATGCGTGCGAGAGACTCGCGCAGTTAAATCTCACAGAAGTTCAGCAAAGAGAAATAATACACGTTGCGTTGCAATGTTGCAGCAATGTACGATCTTTTGTGCGCCTTTTACCTTATGATGTAATGCTGAACCACTCTTAGGAGAAATCATACAACCCGTACTACACTCTCGTGTGCCAGCAGCTGTGTCGTACATCGCATGCTTACAAAATTACTTTACAATTCAGTCTATGGGACTTCATGCGAGAGCTCGGGGAGACAAGTGTTGGTGGTGCAGCTGTTACCAAAAATATCAGAGAAGATGAAGACGCAGAGGCTAAAAGCGTATCGGATTCCCGCTTGCGAAATGTCGCCCAGGCATATGGATGGTGGATCGCCAAAGATTCTGTATCCATCCAGATACTCAAGGTATGGGGTATAGATATTATGTCTATGTTCCCATTAACATAACTCTCATTTATTGTAGGCTGTGGACTTCACCGTTCTAAAACCACGGACCAAGAAATTCTTAAGGGAACTTTTTACGCAAATTTTCATAAACAGCCAAAGAACAACTCCTCTCATGAGCACAGATGTCAGCAAACTGACGTTCACTCGAAATCGCAATGCAGTTGAAGAGATTTTCATCAAGGCTTCACGCGTCCAAACGTTGGCAATGGGCCTGGTATATTTCCTGACGGATACATTCGAAGACAAGTTGGACTCTGACTTTTCTAAGTTCCTTCGATGGGCGACCAGCATGGCGAAGGATGCCCTACGCACTGGAGTAGACTTTATACCTACATTGTAGTGTGATGTTTTATGTTTGCCGTCATCGTTGGCTTTTTTGGAAATATATTTCTAAATCATGTTTTTCGAAATGCTACACTTGAACATACACTGCCGCTTTTTCCTCCAAAAGTGAACGTTGGATGTTGTATTCGGGAACTACGAAGATTCATAAACAAAAAGGAGAATGACCTTGAGAGAATCAAAACTTACTGGTATACCAATCCTGTCTCACCTGAAATGAAGCTTGCTTTGAGTTCCTCCTCCGTGAAATTACACGCTAAGCATAAAAAATCAGAAGACATCAGGAACACACAAAGATACAGTAGTTCGCTTCTCCACTTACATGTTATCAGGAAAAGACCATTAGGCTTGAGCAAGCGTGCAACACGAGCAGGATACTTCATGGCGGGAGAGTTGCCTTGCTCATCCTTTTGTCCTAGTGCAATGGCATCATATGTCCCTTTATCAAGGAGCAGATCCCAAACGGTAGTCTGACCATTTTGTTCTGGCATGCCTTCTGGTCCTGGAGGGTCGTCATTGAGGAAGTCGCACTCGGTGAAGCTGATTGCAGAAACTCCCCGCATGTCAGCGATCCCTTTCGATAGCTTGACAGCCCCAGCACTGTAATCAATGCCATGAAGTTTCGATGGGTCATAACCCGCGTCGGAAAGGCCAAATAGCAGGGTACCGTTGCCGCTTCCTACTTCAAGTATCGAGGCGCATTGGGATGGTGGCACGTTCGCTAATGCCCATTCGACCATCTTCTCAAGGCTTTCAATTCCAAACCTACAAAATTCCTTTCAGCCCATATATCCATGAAAGAATGCGGAAATAATGAACCAGATTTCTCCTTCATCTCCAATCTCCTCGAAGTTGGTAATTCTTCTT